GTGGAAGTGAGTAAATACAAATAAATGATTGGAAATAGTCTCACATAGAAAGTTTCACTCACTTTAAAAGTCTTTATAAAGAGTTATGAGCATTAACTCAATAAAAAGACAAAATAGGATAAAGTGTCACATGGACAAGTGTGGTGGTCCCAAACATTATGCCACTTGTCTCCTCCATATAACGGCTTCGGGACCGGGTCTGAGGGCGTGTGTGTAGAGGCGCCAGTTACGGCTTGTAGGCGGCGCTGTTGGCGCTCCAGTAGGCGGCTACTGGCCTTTGGCCGGACTCATTATTGTTCTCGTTTTGGTCGATGCATGCGTTTGATTTTTGAATTCGAAAAGAAGCAATATTTCGTGAAGGGTTGTTGCAGAATGAACATAGGCAATGGTTGAAAACATGACAACTTTTGGTTAAAAGATGTTGTTTCATCAAGGGTCGCAGCTTTGTGAAACAACACATGCATGACCTATAAATACCTCATTTGGAATTCATAAATCACATCACAAAACCGAGTATCCTCTTCTCCAAAATTCCAAACACTCTTTGCTATCGAGTTTTCGTCGGTCTTGCACAAATTCGATAAAGGTTGAAATACCGTGAGTATTCCTGCGCTCCGACTCTAAAACATACAAAAGAGTGCTTGAAATACTTTTAAGGAAAGTGACATCATTCACGATTCAGTCTTGGATCCATTCGACTTCGAAAATATTTGTAGCAATTTATAAATAGAGAGATAGGTAAATATTAATATTGATAATAAAATTAAGAAAATTATATAAAAAAGTTGAAAAAATTATTTAATATTTTTAAAAATAAATCTCATAAAATTAAATATAAAATATATTTCCTTAAAAAATAATAATTAAATGATACACACTATATGTTAAAAAAATATTTTTTTTCTTGCAACTTAAGTTTTCTGCTTCTGTTACAGTACCTACGAATTCATTCGTTGAGTGTCCAAATGTTCGAGTATTTATGGAGTCATTTGTCGAATATGACTGACAAATTAATGATCATGTTAAAATAAGTTAACACATGATATTAAGTTCAAGTATTAAGAAATATAATATTAGACTATTAAAAATAACATTAATTATATATATATATATATATATATATATATATATATATATATATATATATATATATATATATATATATATATATATATATATATATATATATATATATATATAAAAGAGGAAAATTGTATTTATACACATGATTGGTATCATATAAAGATTATATCAAAAATAAGATGATATTTTTGTCAGTTGTGTAACACTGATTTATTGATAGGTGTTATTTTTATTTATAATATTAAATAAAAAGTTTAATAGCATTATCAAAAAACGGATAAATTATAGATTATAAGACTTTCTTTCCTTCACGATTAATTTTAAGTTAGTTTTATTTTTCATATTCTGGTCAATACCAAATCAAACAATAAAAAATAATATCTATTAGTTTGGGTATGTGTTTCACGTCTTTCATACTGACCACCCTATTTTCGAACAAAATCAATATATTTTTCATAAAAGCTTATAGACTTTTCAGTATCAATTTTTTATCTTTTAAAAGTATCACCTACACAGTTCTTTCAGATTTTGTTATAAAAAATTGAAAAAATGAAATAAAATAAATCCGATATTTTTTGTTAGATCGTATTCACTATTTCCTCTGAAAAATAAACCCGATGCAGAAGGCAAAAGCCAAACTTAGCACATGACATGTATTTGGAATTGCCAAAATAAAAAACCATATTATTATAAAAAAAGAAAGAAATTCACCTTTATATATTACTAGATCACAATTTTTTATCACAAAATAGAAAGAAAAAAATTCAACCCCTCTGCCCCATTTATTTATTCTAGAAATGTAGCTAGATCAAATATTATTATTATTCACTTCTAACTTTATAGTAAATAATTTATTAATTTAAAAAAGGACAAGCTCAAGGTTTTTTATATCTCTATTTGATAGAAGCCCTTCAAACAATTCTGCTGGATCATAGTAAATTTTCATCTCTTCAACTTTTTAGAAAGCGGTAACTATGGATCTTATATATATTTATTACATTCAAAATCCTATCATCACCATATAATATTGGTAAAATCTTCATTGGATACTTTTTAACAAAAAAAACAACTAATTTAAAAATTCTCATCAACATCTATCACTTACTAACACTTGAGAAAACGTGAAAGGAAACAAGTATATATACAATATAACAACTATACAAAGCTCAAAAATATAGAGACTATTGCAATGCGATTCAATATCTAAACACCAAGTCGCCAATCTCTGACAACGTCGCCATTTTGTTGTTGAGGTAAAGCGGCAAGCAAAAATTTATTGAGTACCCGATTTTGTCGTCTGCACAGGGATCGGTGCGAGGGAAAGAACGTTGTTTAACGGTCTCTACGTTTATGAGCTTGCTGTGAAATAGTTGGTTGAAAGATTCAAGGTATCATAGAGGCTTTTTGCTACTGATACCTAAGCTTGCACTGCGAACGTATTCTCCCAGGCCTTCATAATGCGTTCATAGAGACTTTTGCTACTGCCATCCAAAATTTACAACTCACTGGCCTTCGCCTTGAGCTTGCACTGCGAGCTCACCTTGGCTTCGCTTCTGGTTCGCACTGCGAACTTGTTGAATCTTCTTCTTTTTTTTGACCTCCTTGTCCATTCATTTTTGTCTTGTTCATTGATAATCAAGCCTAAATCCTACCCAATAACACACAAATTAAGGCATCCAAAGGTACATGCAATTTTATTGAAGATTCATACAAGGACATGGAATAAATCAATAAAAACATAAGAAAAGAATTGAAAAAGTGCCAAGAATAAAGGTTCAAAATAAGACATATTTGGCATTCAACACAGGTTTCATTGGAGCTAAGCCTTGCAACACACCAATGCAACCTCATTTACAACTTCACTCAAACCTTGGCAATCCTAATTCTGATTCAACTGTATAATATTCCTAAAAAAACCTTTAAATAATCTATCGTTTTTTAAAATTAGTCTATATATGATATTAAATTTATTTGTTGATAGTAAATATATTTTAGTTTTATGAAATATAATATTATATTATATAAAGACGACACAAACTATGTCTTGTATTCAAATTTATAAGGGGAAAATAATATTTATATATGGTTATTATCACGTAAAGATTATGTCAGATCACGTAATATTTTTGTCAATTGTGTAAGTTATTCATTGATAGATATTATTATTCTATTTATAATATTAAATAGATAATTTAATTTAAATAGAGAAAATAAATTTTTTACATGGACAATGTGTCACAATTTTCTTCCTACTCTTGCTCTGCTCCATAGAAGAGGTATGTCTGCTGCCTCAATGTGTCATCGCTGTCAACATTCAATGGAAGATATTCTCCATTGTTTACGTGATTGCAACCTTTTAGACAAGCTTTGGCATTATCTTGGTGTGCACAATCCAAATTTCTTCACAGAGTCGAATGCCTACATGTGGCTCTGACATGGGTTCACTCAGGAGGACCCTTCATTGTTCATCTCGGCAGTCTGGTGGTTGTGGAGGGCACGCAACACCATAGTCATTTCTAATAAAGACTTTCTTTTCTCTACCTTGCAATACAGGATTCAAAGCTATGCAGCATTGGTTAAGATTTGCAAACATGTAGTTGTGAGCAATATCAACATCCCTCGTAGGGTCTCTTGGCATCCAGTAGGGTGGATTGTATGATTTTAAATACCGATCGTAATAGCTTGGGAAACCTCGGCTCTTCGGAATTTGGGGGCTCTTCCGTAGATTAGATGGTTCTTGGATCAAAGGTTTTGCAGGTTATATTGGTATTACAAACAACTTACATGCTGAGCTCATGACTCTCCTAAAAGGTCGTTTGGGAGGATGGTCACCGAAACTTAATTTGCTATTTAGACTCTCTAAATGCTATATAATTGGTCATTACTTCTCTCAACCAGTGGCATGCCTACGCGTCTATCTTAGCTTCGATTCAGGATTTGATAAGGTGGCCTTGGCAGGTTTCTTTGGTTCACACTCTTCGGGAAAAAAAACATGTGTACTGATACATTGGCCAAATTGAAATCTTCGATGATTTAACCATTAATTATGATAAAACATTCTCCTTTCGACCTTCTCATCCCCTTACATGCAGATGTTAGACGGGAAGAGATATTGTGTCCTTAATCTTTCTTTTCCTTTCTTTCTTTGTTTAAAGAATCTATAAAGCCACACCAAAGGAAGGATAAATTATAGATTATGAGTTTCTTTGTTTGTTTAAAAAATCTATAAAATTACACCAAAGGAAGGATAAATTATAGATTATAAGACTTTCTTTGTTTGTTTAAAGAATCTATAAAGTTAGACTAAAGAAAGGATAAATTATAGATTATAAGACTTTCTTTCATTCACGATTAGTTGTAAGTTAGTTTTATTTTTCATATTCTGGTCAATACCAAATCAAACAATAAAAAATAATATCTATTAATTTGGATATGTGTTTCACTTCATTCATTATGACCACCCTATTTCCGAACAAAATCAATATATTTTTCATAGAAGCTTATAGATTGTTTAATATCAATTTTATATGTTTTAAAAATATCACCTACACAGTTGTTTCAGAATTTGTTATAAAAAATTGTAAAAATGAAATCAAACAAATCCAATATTTTCGTTAGTTCCTATTTATTTTTTCTTTTGAAAAAATAAAATCTAACTGACCCGATGCAGAAGGCAAAAGCCAAACTTAACACATGACATGTATTCGGAATTGCCAAAAAAGAAAAAGAAAAAACATCTTATATATTATTATAAAAAAGAAGGAAATTCACCTTTATATATTACTAGATTACAATTTTTTATCACAAAATAGAAAGAAATAAATTAACCCCTCTGCCCCCATTTATTTATTCTAGAAATACAACTAGATCAAATATTATTATTATTATTCACTTGTAACTTTATAGTAAATAATATATTAATTGGAAAAAGGACAAGCTGAAGTTTTTGTACTATCTCCATTTGATAGAAGGCCTCCAAGCAACTCTGCTGGATCATAGTAAATTTCCACCTCTTCAACCTTCAAAGCATCATCCACCTATCATAAAAAAATTATTGCTCATCAATCAATGATAATGATATATAAAAATTTTAAATGAAACAAATTTCGTTAATTCAGCTCAGTTAGTAGTTGTCTATTTGTTATTTAAGAATATGAGACTGTAAAGTGCAAAGTGCAGTTGTTCGAACTCGTGACATTTTATTAATTTATCTTTGGATGATAAAATTTCAATCACTAACTATTTGATCATCAGAAAAGATATAAAAATTTATTATTGAATTCAGATCATAGAATAAAAGTAAATACCTTGAGAGTTCCCAAGCCAAAGAATTGGACTATTTTCCCATTAGGGGCATGTCCTTTGAAAGGACCTTCAAAGAATCCCCAATGCCTAAACTTGAAAGCAATTTCAGGTGGTCCTGTGTAAACTTTAATCACTTCCCATGCAAATCCTCTTGGAAAAGCTGATTTGAATACTTCATGAGATGATTCAAAAGTCTCTTCATTTGAATTATATGGCCTCAAATTTTCTGGCAGAGAACTTTTCAACAATGCATTATAACTTCCTAAACTTAGAGTTTCCTCTGCACTTAGTCCCTCTCTGCCTGTAAATGAGATTGATGGTATTAAGAATCTTAATCATATTCAATATCAAATTAACTTAGTTACAAAAATTAATAGAGAAATTTTAGATCTAACAATTTCCGCAAAGATTAAAGTTCATCTAAGGGAAAAAAACTACACACCACAAATAAATGCATAGAAATAAAATATCTATTAAATTCTCCCATAGAAAAAGATGTATACCAAATAAAAATTGACACATATGTAATTAATTAATTAGTTAATTACCATTAACAAAGAGTTTAAATTTTTCAGGCACAATGGTCTTGAAGTCCTGCAACCGGATCTTGTGAGAGAGTTCCATCTCCCATGACTTAATACCATTTTGCACTATTTCCTCCAATGATCCTTCTGGCCATTCCTGAAAAAGTTCACACAAAATTGAGAGAGAAAAAAAGATTTAGAAGTGATGATAAGATGAAGGTGTGGTGTGGTGGCTCACTTTGGTTCTTCCTTGTTCGAAAAGCTGGTTGACAAGACCATAAGTGGGAGGGCCACCATGTCTCCACTGGATGTTATCATCTTCATCATGCAAAATAGATCTGTACTTGTCTTTTAGAATTATGTTTGACATGTTAAATGTTAATGAAGAGGTTATGTGTAAACTAGATAAATTGATATGTATTTATAGGTGTAAAAGGAAGATGGTTATGATCATATGTGCTAGATTTTTTTATCAAGACACATGTCCTATATATATCTTGAGTCACAAGATAAGATTTTCCTTTTATTCAAGAAAGATAAGTGTATTTTTCAATATTGAAATATAAAATGTAACGCAACCATGTTGTGTGGTGTGAGCAATTACCCTCTATTTACTTTTTATTTTATTTTTTAATAAAATGTGTAGGTAAATTAGAATTTCGTAAATATGTTTTAAAATTAATCGATTATTTCATTTATTTATATTTATATTTAAATTTGATTATTAAAAATTGATTAATTATTAATATGATTTTAACCGAAGTCATATTTTAGATATTTTATTAATATAGTTTTAACAAAATTCATATTTTAGATATTCATATCTAGAATAAAAATTAAATTAGTCAAATTTTTGAAAAAAAATCAATTAATTTTTAAAAAAGAAAACTAAAATTAAAATTTTTTTTTAAAAAAAATCTTTAAAAAAAAACAAAAAAATAAGATTTTTTTTGGAAAATACTCCCTTAGTTCTTAATATAAAAAAAAATACTTTTTAAATTTATGGAAAAATCAATGTATTTGGACTATATGTAGATTCATAAATAAATATAAAAAGTAATATTTTCTTATATTTAAGACAAAAAAGAAAAAAAATCATTCAGCATGAACCCTAACAATGAGATACATAACTGATATGGATCACTGATCTAACAAAGGAGAAAGAATGGAAAAACCGATGTTTTGAAGATGCTAGTAGCTGAAACTGTCTACAACATTTGAAATTATAGAAATAGTATTACTTTTGAAGACATTGTAGAGAATACAAACATGGTTACAAAAATCATAGATAATGTGATTTATAGAGGATGGCAAAACAATAGGATTAGAAAATCCTTTGTTAGTTTTATGATGTAATTTGAGTCATTTAGTGGGTTGTATCCTCATTGGATCACTGTTTTTGTACTTGACTTGTTTCTGAATTAATATATTCTTTCTTGATTCAAAAGAAAAAAATCATTATTATTTTTTTTTTAAATAAAAAAATTGGAAAAAAAATTTCTAAAAAAAAAGATTTTTTACTTATTTTTATAAATATTTTAATTAAAACTAATTGAAATCGGATATGAACATAAGCTATTAATAAATTATTTATAACCACTTAAAAAAGTTATGACAATTGATTTTAATAATTGGTTATAACATATGAATTATATATATATATATATATATATATATATATATATATATATATATATATATATATATATATATATATATATATATATATATATATATATATATATATATATATATATATATATATATATATATATATATATATATATATATATATATATATATATATATATAACAATGAAATTGGCAAGGCAAATCCTGATGGGTAAAGCTGCTGAGAACATCAACCATATCAACATAGAGGCCATGAGGATGGGGAAACAACTTGACATGGATCAAAGGGAGTACATCATCAGACCGATATCAGAAACTGAGGTAATAAAAGCCTTTAAAGGGATTGGAGATGTCAAAGCACCAGGTTTAGACGGTTATGGAGCCAAGTTTTTCAAACACAGTTGGTCTATTATTAAAACTGATGTGCTAGCAGCTATTGATGAATACTTTGAAACTTGAAAAATTTACAAGGCACTCAACAATGTTATTGTATCCTTGATTCCAAAAAGCCATAATGCTTGTGAGCTCAAAGACTATAGGCCTATAGCAGTCTGCACCACCTTCTACAAGATTATTTCCAAGATCCTTACAAACAGATTAGGAGTTGTAATTTCTAGTGTGGTAAACCAAAATCAAGCTGCTTTCATGCCAGGTCAAAATATCCATAATCACATTATGCTTGCTACTGAATTGCTTAAAGGTTACACCAGAAAAGGAGGCACCCCTTGAATTATGATACAATTAGACTTGCAAAAGGCTTATGATATGGTTGATTGGAAGGCTTTGGAATGCATCATGAAGGAAATGAGATTCCCTAACAAATTCATCCAATGGATTATGCTAGGCATCACCAGTGTTTCTTACAGATTTAATATCATGGGCGACTACTCTGATTTGCTGCAGGCCAAAAGAGGTATTCGACAGGGTGATCCTCTATCACCTATGCTGTTTGTCTTAATTATGGAGTATCTGAACAGGATGTTGATAAAGATGCAAACTGATCCTAATTTCAATCACCACGCTAAATGCGAGAGCTTGAATATCACTAACCTCACTTTCGCGGATGATGTTCTGTTGTTCTGCAGGGGTGATGTTGTCTCTTTACAGATGCTGCTTCGCGTGTTCAAGGAATTCTGCAATTCCACTGGACTGATTGTTAATCCTACCAAATGCAGAATTTATCTTGGGGGCCTGGACACTAGAAAGAGGAAAATTATGCAAGATCTGTCGGGTTTTAACGAAGGAACACTCCCTTTCAAATACTTAGGCATACCACTGTCTGACAGAAAACTTTCCATCCACCATTACATGCCCTTGGTGGATAGAATTGTTGCTCGTATTCGGTATTGGTCATCCAAACTTCTAAGTTACGCAGGGAGGATTCAATTGGTGAAAAGTATTGCTTCCGCTATGGTACAATACTGGCTGCATTGCCTTCCCATGCCAAAAACGGTGATCAAAAAATTGAATCCATCTGTCGTAGTTTCATCTGGACCGGTAAGGACACGGTGAGTAGAAAATGCCCTGTGGCGTGGAAACAAACCTGCTGCCCTGTTGCTCAAGGTGGGATGAACCTCCTAAATCTTCAGGTTTGGAACAATGTCCTCCTCTTGAAATGTCTTTGGAATCTTTGTAGCAAATCCAACTCCCTTTGGGTGAAATGGATCCACATACATTACTTGAAAGGGAAACACGTGATGGACTATACCATCAAAAAACACAACTCGTGGATTATATGCGGCATTCTGAAACAGAGGGATACCATAACCTTAATACGGAATTAGTAGGATCAGCTTCTGATCACTCACAAGTTTAGAGCGTCGATATTTTACAAAGTGCTGATTGATGATGGCACAATGGTGCCTTGGAGGAAATTGATTAGATCCAATAAGAGTCGTCCGCGAGCAGTATTTTGCTTATGGAAAGCTTGTCACGGTAAGCTGCCAACCAAGGATAGGTTAAAGCGCTTTGGCATGATTCAAGACAGCATTTGCAGGCTGTGTAACACCGAGGAAGAGACGATAAACCACCTATTTTTCTGCTGTAAAGAGACTGGATACATTTGGAAGGAGGTGCTTCATTGGTTTAACATTGATCATGAACCGCAACCGTGGGAGACAGAGTTGACTTGGATCAATAACATGACAAAAGGAAAAGGTTGGAGGGTGGATGTGTTGAAAATGGTAGTAGCGGAAACCATACACACCATCTGGAGATATCCTAATAGCATTACTTTTGGCAACAATGTAGATAATACAACCTTGGGTACTAACATCATAGATAACGTGATATATAGGGGATGGCAAAATCTTAGAATTAGAAAACACCTAGTTAGTTTTATGATGTAAGCTTTGTCTTTTTGGGAGGTTGGATCTTTTTGGATCACCTTTTGTACTGACTGTTTTTGAATTAATATATCTTCCTTGATTCAAAAAAAATATATTCTCTTACATAGTATCAGACTTTGGTTTCTAACCGTAAGTCTTTACATTCGCGGAGACAATCTCTTTATCTCATTTTTCCTAGTCGTCAGTCGAATTTCCTTCTCGTTAACTTATAGTTGAACCTGATCCTCCCTCTTGACCATTTCCTCACTAATTGAAATCCTTTATAATCCTGTTAGCAAAGAAATTTTAAAACAGGAAACAAAGAAGCTAGCTGGGAGTTTCTTCAAACATAAGTTAAGATCAAGGTGCTTTAACTAAAAGACCTACCAAGGGAACAAAGGTATTTGATGTCAAAGAGTCTGGTTGAAGACTTAGTAAAACTTTAAGAAGTCCAATGATGTGTCAAGTTCGATAAGTTAAAGGGGTTCGGTTAGAGGCAGATTCAAATTTCAAACTGAATTAATTGCGTTTTGGTCTTATTCAAACTGTAAGGCACACGTGGAAATCAATCGAGGATGAGTCACACATGCAAAGATGACGTGTCGAACAGAGAAGTATTTGAGCGTTGGAAGACTGTTAGTTCATTGCATTATAAATTGAGATTCTAGTGGCAGGATGAAGGGTAGAAAAAATATTGTAAACTTCGATATACACTCAAAGTACTCGCACACATGAGAGAAACAAATTTTCCGAAAGAAAATGTACTTGCCTACTACTTTTACATTTATGCAAATAAATTATTTTTTCTATTTAAAGTTCTTTTGTACTTGTTTTTCTTTAATATTCAAAAGAATAATTTTGATTGTGTCGAAATCAATTAATTAGTTTACTTTTATAACATAGTTGCTTTATTAAAAATACCCAACATTCATTGGAAGCAATCCGAAAATATTGAATGCATACTTTCTCTTTTTAGAAAATTAGCACAAACTTGTCCTAGGATATACTAGTTTAGTCTAGGGATGTCAATTTGCATCTGTTACTGGAGATCCCTGCGGGAATTGTCCCTTTCGAGACCCCAAAGATGAGAAATTTCCCTCTGCGAGGATTGTCCCTTTCAAGGCCTCAAAGATGAGAAATTTCCCCCCACGGGGTGGGGATGTGGAGAAAAATTCCCCCGACAACACTTTGGGGATGGGGACGGGAACACATCTCCCGCCCCGCAAGGATTCCTCCCTACCTATTTATTTTAATATAATTAATTTAATATATAATTTATATTAGGTTTTTTTTTCATTTCAATTATGTTTATCTTTAAAAATAAATAAATATTAATGCTTAGAATTTTTGAAGGTGTTTAGACATACTATAACTTAAAAAATATATTATATTTTTTGTTGAATTTTATATC